GGGGGGGGGGGTGAGGTGACTGGAAAGGGGCACAAACAGGTGATGGTTATAGTTGTAATACATTTGTTGAAACTCAAACACACTTAAAATCTGTGTATTTATTGTATGTAAAGCATAATCCAATGAAAAAAGTTACATAAACATCCACTAAGTTACAGGAATCATTACCTGCTCCCTCCTGGGACAGAGAATGTTCACTTAAGTTTCTAAGAAAGATTCTCACAAGAAATTAATAAATCATTAGATAATGATTTTAAGTATAGACTCCTTAAGCCCACAAAACAAAACCCCCATATAGGCCAACCATTAAAAAATGTTCTCATAAAAATATTCACTGAAACTAATAGATAACAAAATATTTATTTTATTGTTGTAAAATTAAAATAGTAGACAAGCGTAAGTAGTTACAATTCCAAAGCAGAACAATACAATTGTAAATTATTGCAGTTTTAAAAGAAAAGTGTAACAGCCAAGTAATGTCTAAACTTTTGGAAACCAACTTGGTTTTTACCATTGCAGCTGGAATTTACTTTTTCCAAATGTCTTAGCACAATTTTGTGAAATAAATTTCTAACACCAGAGAGAGACTAAGTTCAATGACCATAGTATAAGCTACTCAAGACTTAAAGCAAGGTCAACATACACAACATATTGTAAAAGAAGGAATGGCTTTAAACAGAAGTCACTACTGAACACTTTCTAAGCTGACTTTTTTCAAGGTAGTAGAATGAAAATAACCATTCTTCATGTTTAAAAGAAATAAACATTTATTTACTAAAATTCCCTTTGCTTTAGATGTAGGTGAGGGAAGTTCAGCTAACACTTTTTTGGGGGCAGGCGATACTCATCTCCGTGATTTTGTTTCAGTCCAGTATCCCTAAAATGCAGTCGTAATCTGGACTCTTATAAACCAAAAAGAATAGTAAAAGTATGTTACAAACTAGATGCTAAAATATCTTAATGCTAGAGATTTGCTATGAAATGTTTCACAGCAACATGGCCAAATTGCTTAATAAGTAGACTACCTTATAACAAGGGCAATTATGAAAGGATGGAGAGTGAAAATACTGAGATGTGAGACAGAACCTTGTTGCTCCACACATAGTATTACCATCCTCCAAGATACCTGTACTTGTGCCAGAGCCCTATTACCTTATTATTCAGGTAAACCAACTCTTTCCCATCCCACTACCAACAGACTTAATTTGGTAAGAGTAACCTGTTGAGTCTTATCTCTTACTGATTTTCACCGCACATTTTCTTAAATAATTATTTCCACCAACCTAAAGTGAAAACTGCAATTAAACACCGAAATGAAATCACTTATCTGTTTTACAGCCACATCTGAACAAAAGACATTTAAAGAATTTTTTAAGAGTACTAACTTCTTAATAAGTACTTAAAAATACTCAAATGTCTTACCTTAGCACTGACAATAACATTGGTCAGTAAACTAACTGGCATAAGTCAGAAAAATAACACTACAATAACTTTACACTGGACCATTTAAAAGTCTTCATGTCACATAACCTAATTTATGGTCACTAACCTGAACCTCCTATGAAGCTACACAAATAATTTATTCTTTAAAAGTTCTGACTTAAGTTTAGAGCACATACATTTTGTATTACATTTTACAATAATAACGTAAGAAAATTTCTTCTAAAAAGTCAAAATAAAACCAAAACTTTAACATACACAAATAGATCCAAAAAGACTCAAGAGTGTAAACCCAAGGAAAGATACATAAACAAAACAAGAAAGCACTTTAAACCATTTTCAGTGGTAAAGAATATGGTAAAATGGAAAACCCGAGAAATCTTAAGATGCCTGTGAAGATGCCAATGAAACAGAATATAGTTTGACTATATCACTGAAATCACTTTCTTGCATGAACTTACTTTAAAAGTAATCCTCAAATGTATAAAAAAATGGGCACTTTGTGGTGAAATGAGCATATAATTTGAAAAAGTCAGAACATTTCTTCGCTCCGTCATGCATAAGAAACTACAAAACACTGTTCTGCTGCCTGCATCATCTATTATTGGTGTCTTAAGTGCATGACTTTTGTTAAATAAAACACATTAGGATATTAAATACCAGTGTGAAAGGATGACAGAAGGCTGAACGGGTTTGAAATCTTTAATCAAGAGAACAATCTTGGGTTGTCAAAATCACTTTTACTTCAAACTGATTTTTTAAAAATTCAACTCGTCTAAATTATGAAATCTAACATGAAAAAATACCAGTCTTATTTTACTCCACTTAATCATATAAGCTCTGAAATCAGTAATAGATAACTTGCAGTATTTCTTTTGCCATTTTTGAAACTGAAGGTACAGATAAGATTTTCTTTCAAATTTCCTCAGAAACTACTAACAAGTGTACAGAATAGCAAAGCATGGTAACCAAGTTTGTGGTATTTCATATTCTCTCAAGGTAGAATTCAACTCTGTTCCTTAGCCTTACTTTAGAATATATAGTAACTGCATAGTCAATCAAGAAAACTAATATTGGAATATAAAATAAATTTATCAAATATTTGAAAAAAACTGCTGTGCAAAATAACAAAATTTTTTTTTTACTAGAATATTTTATCCAAATAAAGTACTAGTGTGAGTACCAGCACCAGGTATTTTTTAAGAGCACCTTTCCCTTGAACAGCTTAAGGAGAAGTATCTAAATGGGATAAATCAAGAGTTCCCGATTGAGACCTTGGTACATGTATAATCCCATCTAATTGTTCCTAACTCATTAGTAAAGCTACACATTTGCCAGAAATTCCTTAAGAAGCAAGCACATACTTTCTTTGGATAACACTGTTGTGTTCAGGTTTCACCATATGGCTCACATTCCGGAAATATGCTACTACTGATTTCAAATGCAACACATCCCAGACTTTTATGGCTGTCCCAAAGTGATCTAAATAGAAGCACAAATGTGTGCAAGCACACTGGCTGGTAACATCCTTAATGGATTATGCCAAAAAAGAGTAAAGTCAAATTTGAAAATGTGACCATAACAACCAAGCACTAGGATACCTACTGGCATCATCTGGAAAAGTCTTTATTCAACTTGTAAATTTATGGATTTTGATATTGCACATATTCAATTTAAAGCTTATCAAAAACTAAGGCAATGTATCCCCACTCCTGGATTTTAAATTCATTTTGGATAACTCAAAGAATTGAGAGAAGCTGAAAGCATCTTTCACAAACTCCCTCGGAAAAGCAGTTATGTCATACTTCAGAGAAAACAAAACAAGGCCAAAGAGGCATCAAGCAATACTCTTGGGCAAATTCAACATGTTTCAGCATTACAAAAAATTTTCTACTAGTTTGAGGTGTTTCTTTGCTTAGTTCAAACACTGTGTTCAAGACTAAAATCTGACCCAAGTTAGGGCAGGCTGCCTAATTTAAGGCAGAAGTCATTTATATTTTTATGCACAGAGCTGCCAAATTATGGGTTTTTCTGTAGATTCTTTCAAGCAAAGGATCTTACCTTATGAATACATTCTAGCCACCAGCTGAAAACAGAATTTATAGCCCATTTTAATTCTGCATTGGTTATAGCTTTTGTTATAATACATTAAAAATTTATCTAGCTGTTTGAGACAGCTATTAGTTCAGAGCTCCTTGGAAACATAGGCAACACATAAATATCCTTTTAAAAATGAGCTGCTTAGCTGGGTAGCTCAGTTGGTTGGAGCATCATCCCAATATAATATACCAAGGTTACAGGTTTGATCCCAGTCAGGGCACACATAAGAATCAACCAATGAATGCATAAATAAGTGGAACAACATATCAATGTTTCTCTAAAATCAATACATACTTTTTTTAAAAAAATAGGTTTTTGTTTAATTAGTTCTGTTTTTCTACATAAAGCAGTCTTCTCTTTCCCTTTAGATTCTAAAGTTTAGAAAAATACCCCAGAATGTTTTCTTTGGGACTAATTTCAATGATGTTGATACAGAATTTGAACAGTTCAAGGATTCTTGAACCTTGATACAAAGTGGCATACAAAATAATTTTAATTTTTTTCAGATAGGACAGTTATTTCACAGAGTATTCAATTTGAAGAAAGATACTCCATTTGACTTACAAGTGAGGCTTGACTTACTCTGTCCAAAGTCTAACACATCAAAGTCATTAGAATGAAAATAATATTGAAATAGAAGAGGCTTTTTCTATGGAGACTTGTTGACATACAAAAGCTAGATTAGCGTTTTCTTCCTGAACTCGGAACTGCTTTTGTTAGAAAAAGTTAAATATTTTACTTTCTTGCATATTTGCTTTAAAAAGTTATTCTTTTATAAGAGATATTAGAAGTCAAACAATTCGACTAGATAGATTTCTACCCCAAAATACATTTATCTTTGGAAAACAAGATAATAGTTGTAAAAGCAGTATATTAAGAGAATAAAATGCAGTGATCTGAAATATGGGTAACATATTCACACATGGAAGTGTAAATATAATACACAGAGCCATTCAAATACACATTTATAAAGAGAATGGAAAGGTACCTAAAATAGCATTTTTATATATAAAATTTTCATATTAAAATATTGCTCATAATAAATAAGAGGTGATATTATGAATTTAATCTCCCTCTTAAATAGTTCAGACTAATCTCAGGAGTTCGTTAACCTTATATTGTTTTGAAAGGTGAATTATATTAAACTATGTTTAATAAAAATCACACTGTAACAGTATATTTAGTCACATGTGGTAAAAGTTAGGGAGGGCCACTTAGTAACTATGGGAAAAAAGATTCCCAAAATAAACCCAAATGCTTAACCCTAGAAGACCAGAATGTGATGATCTGCTTTATTTGACGAAGATGCTAAATACTGCCTTGAAGCTTTGCTATCTTAATGACCATCCCACATGCTTGGCAGAACAGGAAATGGTAGGGCATCAGAAGCAAGTGTAAGTTTAGTTCAGTTGTTCGTGGACAGATGTGGCTTAATTCCTGTTCGCCCCACTTGCAGACATGGTAACTTGGAATAGTTCTTGAGAAGCTGTTCGATGGCAACATGTCGGACGTGGAGCTCTGAGGCCAAAGAATCTTTTTCTTGCACTTGGTGTGCTAACTCTTCAGAAATTTCTGTAAAGATTTTTAAAAAGTTCCATTTTTAGTACACAGAAAGCTAATCCTATGATTTATATTTCAAGTACTTTAACTGAATGCATTGAGTAAAAGTTTGCAATTAAAATGATATGACATTGCCCCAGCCCGGTGGCTCAGTTGGTTGGAGCGTAGTCCGGTGCACCAAAGGGTTTCGGGTTCGATTCCCGGTCAGGGCACATACCTAGACTGAAGTTCCATCCCCAGGTGGGGCACATACAAAAGGCAACCGATTAATGTTTCTCTTTCTCTCTCTCAAATCAATAAACATATCCTTGGGTGAGGGTAAAGGGGGAAAAAAGGTGATTTGACACCAAGGAAACACTTGCGTTTTGACCATTCTGGGGTGTTGTATACTTTGCACAGCCAGCTGGAATACGGTATTCCTCTTCTCCATCAAGTGATACTTAAGTGTCATAAGCAACAGCTATATAGATGTGCAGCAAGAATGGCAGTTATAACCACCTCTGAGAGAGACACTTTTCACAATTTGAAATAGAAACAGGTTCAGTAACTATCTAATATGACTTATGGAAAGTAAGTGCACATTAGTGCCTAGGTCTGGAAACCCCTCTAAGAGGTTTTGGAATCAGACTACCTAGAATATTGTTCCTACTCTTGCGAGTCCCAGGCAAGTAATTTAAACTGTGTTTTAATTTCCCCTTATGTATTACCTCAATGAGAGTAGGCCCTTCACAGGGTTACTGTGAGGATTCAATAGGTCATACTTGTCAAGTACTTACACAGAATAAGTACTGGACAAATATAAGCTGCTATTACTATTGTTACTGTTATTATTTTATTATTTGGAGAGGTTGTGTGCTCAAGAAATACCACTAGCTTTGGAGTTAAAAACACAGAGGTTAAAATCTTTGTGTCACTGACTGAATGCATGATCTTTGTAAGCAGCTTAACTGTCTCTCAACTGTAGTTTTCTCACTGAAATGGGAATCAATTATAAAGGGAAAAAAGAGACAAATTGGGGAATCTGAACACTAACTGTTAACTGTTGGTGTTAGCATCATATTTCATGATGTTCAGGAATTACTAGCTGGTACTTTTTTTTTTTTTTTTAGATGTGGTCAGGTTGTGATTACCTTAAAAAAAGTTATGTTTTAGAAAAAATCCTGAAGTATTTTTGGACAAAACATACGTTGTCTGGGATTTGTTTCAAAATAATCCACACTGAAGGTGGGGCAAAGGGAATGGGTGCAAGCAGAGATCAAGGAAAATTAGCTACGCTTTTTGTAGCAGTTAAAGCTGATGAAGATGGGTCAAGGGATTCACTATACTATTTTACTACTTTTGTGTTTGAAATTGTTCCAAACCAGGGCTAATACCTGCCTTAAAGGACTGTGAGGGAGTTCATGTGTGTAGCAGAACGTTAGTAAGAAGGTAGAGATTAAGTTGTAGTCTCCATTTTCACTTAAAAAAGAAAAACCCATTTTCCTGCAGTTCATAAAGTGGTTGTTTTCATTATCCCTTTTGCTCTGGAAGCTAGCAGGTTCTAATCCCATTTCCAAATTTAAATGCAGATGAAGCTAATGGGGCCGTTATAGGGGATTTTCTGTATCAAAATTTTCACATGCAAAAAAACATTGACACCGATTCTTTACCCTGTATTTGCTGTTGGAGCTTTGCATTCAGTTGCTTTACCTCACCAAAAGTCATCGAATTCACTGAAACATGAAAATATATTCATTATTACCAAACAACCCAGGAAAATAGGCTGCCTGCATCACTAACACAATATCCTATTTTTTTAAAATTTGTACTTATCTGCCAATATAACATTCAGCAGTACCCAAGAGTTCATTCATTAACTCCTCCAGTGTGGAGTTTTCAAATCCTAATCTCAACCCATGGTAAAAAATGTATTTTACATCACTCCCAGTAAACCTCCCCCAAAGCCAGTTTCACAAAAAAGCACTTTGTATTAGGCCCACTGGATTCTGACATGTATATACCATTCTGTTTCAGTTTTTAAAAAGTGTGAGTCACTACCCATCAAGTCAATTTTGCTTAAACACTACATAGTTCATGATCCCCAGTTAGAAAAACCTGACTGTAAAGCACTGTGGAAACAGTCTGAAAAATCAAGTTATCTATCTAGTTATATAACCTTAGATACACAGAACCAGTAAGTTTCATAAAAATATACCCATGGTCCCTTCTTGCTCTAAAATCATTTGATTTTAAGTCAATGAAAATTATCTCAGCTTCTGTGAGTTTTTGTACATGCAGACTGAATGAGTCACTGTTCTAGCTTTAAAATAACACATTACCTTTGGCCTTCAGTAAAATGCCGTATTTATGCTTTTGAAATGCCACTCCAAGGAAGTCAATTAGTCTTGTAGGGATTAGCAATGTGACAATGTGTGTGAGCCATGGTTGAGGCTTTATTTCTAAACTATATGGACCCTGAACTTCCCAAATCAGTGTGCATTTAGTTTAATAATTTAGAATGGGAAAACAAATCATGTTACTGCAGAATGCCAATGTTTAGGACATACTAAGGGGTATTCCAGAGAACTGATGGAGAGTTTTAAGACATCTCCTTTTTTATGGAGTGATGTATTTATCATTTAAATACTCTATTTACCAAATCTATAATTCTACAGCAAAGTTCCTGAAACATCACATATATAAGAATGTAAAAAAACCCCAATAAAACATCAACCTTCACCTTTCTCCTATTTTACTTACATTCCTCTCTGCTGTAATGTGGATGCTGGGTCTGGACACTAGCCTCCGGATTAGAGATTGTCTCTTCTTTTTTCTGTGCCTGGTTGTGACCATGAGACCACAATACATTACTGTGGCATAAAGTAGCACCTGAACCTTGTAGCACAGCAAGCCCAAAGTCTGTATTTTCCCTCTGCTGCAATATTCTTTGTGTACAGTCTGAGAAGCCACCCGTACTTCCATGTAGCCATTTTGCAGAATACTTCGGTACTTGGGAGTCAAACTGTGGGAGCAACTTTTTATCTGGCTTATGCCTGAAATTAAAGAGGTGATGCTGGGGAGTTTTAGAACATTCCGAATCTGAATCTACGTCCTTATTTTGTGCATACTGTACAATCCAGTTTATCTTCTTACTCAAAATGGTTTTAACGTCTTCATAGTAAGTACTTTTTGAAAGCTTAGATCGTGGACAATCCTGGTTTGCAATCAAATGGTATTTTTCAAAGCAGTCTTTATGGCCCCTTAACGATGTGGTGTGCAAGAGATTAGATTTTGGTATTCCTATAAAAAAAAGAAAAATTTCATCTTTTAAAGTTGCATTAAGAATATACAAATCTTAGTAAAACACAGTCACTGTCAGTTTGTAAACTGGAGGGAAAATATTAAAGAATATTGGTATTAATAATATAAAAATGGTCTAATAATTCTGCTTCAATTTAACTATATTTTCAGTAGTATTAAATTCCTACAAATAGCAAAGCCTTTTTAAGGACTTAAAGATTCATCTTAACCGCAGTCTAGAGGTATGTTACTGCATACTACATAAAAAAAAATACTGCTGAACTAGCAATTTACATTTACAGACTCTGGCCTTTACATTACAGGTAGCTCCAATCTGCTTTTTGATTCTAATACTTATTACTCTAGATACATAGCAGGTAGGTAGAGAGAACTTGAAACCTGCCTACTTTACTCACTTCAGAAAATCTATTAAAGAGCTTCCTCACGCTCTATAAACTGTCAGGTCTCGTTGCCAACTGATGACTAGCCAGTCCCCTGCCCAAACAGCTCTCATCCCATTGCCACAGTTCTAATACATGTAGCAATGATTTAGTTGAATCTAAGCAGTAAGTGATTCTCTTTTGAGTCTATATAAAAAGAAACTTTAGCATTTAAAATTAGGCTACACAAAGTAATTAATTTTGCTGTTAAATTTTAAAAATTTACCTAGAAACTTCAGAAATTGTATTTAAAAAATTATATGCAACAATGAGTTTCCCGATGTACCCCAGAGCTTTACCAACCTGTCAATATAACAGATGTCTACTTGAAGAATGCTGTGGGCTTTTAAAGTTAAAGCTTTTGTGTTCAATACTGCTTTTTAGTAATTCATGTAATATAACTTTCTCCAGGAATAATTTCTCTTTTAACTTTTACTTAAATCCCCAAATGAATGCTAAGAACCCAGCTAAGTACATAATTATGTGCACATAAGTAATCTGTTGAGATGAACAGCAAATCAGAGAATCACCGTGTCAATTTACTGTGAAAATATATATATGCTACTAAAATTTCAGATTCTTTCAGACATTCAGAAGAAAAATTCCCTAAAAAAAGACTTGGAAAAAAGTGTAAAAGTGTCATGGGCGAGTTCTGATCCAGTGTACACTTCCACCTAGATGTCCCATGACCTGCTCAAACTCGCCCTGCCTACACGCCTCTTCCTTCACCCCACTCCCCACACCTTGGATGCTCTTCCCAAGTCTGACGTCACCAGCTGCTTAAGGAAGAAACCTGGGTGCCTTCCTTGACGCCTCCCCCCGGCCCCTGAGATGTTTTGCTGTCCATCTTAACAGATTTTTGCCCCATAAAATCTAGCAGTACAACAACTCAAATCCTACTTTACTCCATTACCACTCCCATTACACTTACCTGCGTTGTCATCATCTCCTTCTAGTTCTCATTTCCTCTAAGAAACCTTTTCCAACCAATACATCTGACCAGTTTATCACACTAGATTTTCCAATTGCCTCTTCACTGACCTTTAGTTCCTGTAGTAAGTTCTTTGAGAAAAGGGACCATATCTGTTTTACATGCATCCTCAATGTTATAGTGCCTGAGTACCTCATAAAAAGTAGTTAAATGAATAAAGGAAAATTAAAATCGTATAAAAGAGACCCAAACAAACCAAAACTTATTAGCAATTATCATTCAAGGTCTACTGCAATGAAATTTTTTTTGCCCATCCTAGCAAGGAAAGCAGGATGTGCAGCTTTGCCAGGCTGCTCAGAGGTTAATTAAAGGCATCTTCCAGTGAACTTAGTTTAATGGGCCATTAGTCTGAAGAACTGATGAGTGGTATGATACAGAGATGCCACTCCTGTGGCATTATTCAATCTGCCAAGCAAAATCAGGAACTTCTACTCAATTATATGTGTCAACAGAAATTTACATATACTGAATATTTTAAAAGGCTGCTTTATATAAACTGTAGCTCATTGATCAGATCTGTACCTCTTCTTTTAGAGCTAAGAATTTAAAACTTGACTGAGTTCTGAAGTTCAATTTGAAAATATTTGTTATATAAACATAGTTTAAAATATCCCGTGCAGTAGCAAAGGACACAAAAAGTAAAAAAAATACAATGCATTGACTACTTCAGATACTAGAATAAAAGAATGTAAGTCGCCTACTTAATTTCTATCCAATATACATGCCATTTTATAAACTCTAGAAGTGATTTTGTTTTTTCCACCTCATCAGTTTGAATTAATATAAGAGAAAAAACAATTGCTATTTTCAGAGATCCCAGAGAGTTTCTCAGCTAACTCTACAATTTCAATTGCATTACAAGTGTAAACAGCTCTGAGCACTAATCTGTTTCCTCAGCAGCTTTTGAAAGGAAAATGAATGTAAACACAATTAAATGAGTTGATACTTTTGAGTAGCTGAGTTATAAGGAATTTCCAAACCAGTTCACCAAAAACTGAACTACAACTTGCTTACTAATAAACATTTTGAAGGCCAATGTAATTGACATCCTATTATGAAAACTTCTTTAAAACATACTTCAAAGATGTTCGTGTGACTTTTTTTGTCATGAGGTCATTATTTTTACAGAACCCAAGACTTAACTGGCAACTATAATTGCTAATTTTAAAACAGTACTAGTTTCTTTTAGATAGGGGCTTTTTGGAAATTTACACAGGCAGTGTAATTCCATGTGAACAGTGGTATTTTAGAAGGAGTTAACCTGCCCCTATTCAATAGTGTTCTTCTTTTTATCCTTTCACGCTCACTCTGATTCTGTTACCCAGTCTCACATTCCTGAGAACCCTCCTAACCCATCTGGCATGCTACCGCCATTTCTATTCTTTTAGTGTCCCTTGAAAAATCAACTCACTTTAAGAAAACTTGGTTAAACCCATAGAAGAGCAAAAGCCACTCAGGTGTCTACCTACCACTGTTACCCTTTTAAAATAAGGATATTTCCATGCTCATATTTAATCTGCCTAGTGTAGTGACATATTTTTTCCCCCCTCTAATAAGATGATATTCCAAATGGCGCTAAGAAATAGCCACCAAAACACTTAAGTTCTATCATATGTCCCACTATCCTCGGCTTTTCCACCTCACCTCTTGAAGACCTTATTTATGATTTGGTTGTAATGAGGTAAGCTAAGCAATCTTTTCCTGATGGTTCACCAGCTGACCCTGTCAAAAGCACTGTCTCTCAGCTGACTACACTCATGCTACATGGCTCTGTAGTAGTTTGAATCACATGACTGCCTTATTCATGTTTACTTTATGTCAGACTTAACTTTGAATTTGATTACTGTATCTCATTTCCCAATCAAAAGCATGTCAATATAATTTGGTATTCCATAGGCAGACCAAATATAAAGCTGTAATAGATACTATACCACTGGCAGTAGACTGGGAAGCTCTCAGAGAGCAAGCACTTCAACTTTAACTTCAAACTTAAAACAGAATTAGAAAACTGGCAGTATTGGTTTTCCAAATGGTGGGTTTTTGTGTTCTTCCTTAATATTTAAATAAGGCAAGAAAATTTAGTTACGATTTAAGTTCCAGGTTGTTAACATGCTGTGAAGAAACTTTAAACATATTGCCTTCAAACATGACCAACAATTTCTGTGGTACTGCTTCAAAATCTTTTTTTTTTTATGAAGTCGTGCATTTTGCCCAGCTTAAAGAATTTTCCAAGAGTAAGGTGTTTTTCTTTTTATGATGATCTGATCTTGGTTGCTAAGAGAACAAGCACCTGCATGTTTATGTGCTGCCCACATTAAGAATCCTGAGCTTCTTTGAGCAAGTGTTAATTGCAAAATGGGAAGATAGCTGCATTTTGTTGTACTAAGACAGACTCAAAGGACTGACATGTTACCTCTTTGTTTTTGAGGATCAGATTCCCATTTCTGATAAAAGGAATAGAGGAAAAGCTCTTTAAGTAGACGTGGCACACCCAGAGCCTGAAGTCTGAATCCATACTGAAGTTTTAGGACTATGAGTGTTTTAAAAGAAAGAAAAAAAAGACCCATGTCCAATTTTCAATTTCCTGGTTTCTCTTAAAAACAAAATAGGAAGATCTGGCAGGAGCTGGTTAATGAGAAGCAGCTACTGGCTGAAACAGAGCAAGTGCTCTGCCTGTGACCTAGCAGGTTCTGCAGCCATGTTGGCTAGTGACACTTGAATTATACTAAGGCTGTGCAGTGATATATGTCTGGATGGCTTCCGTGTAAATGCCGCTTGTTCTGATGATGCTTTGATACCCAATCCCATCAGGCTGTTGCATTTGATGAGCAAGCAGCAGCAGCCAAGCCAAGGTTCAAGGAGCATTATTAGCGATTTATCTATTTCTAGTCATAGCCACTTAGTGGGTAGATGATCAGATTGTCTATCCTGTCATGGGACTAAAGGTAAGAAATCAGACCAAAGGTGAGAAGGCAAGGATGGATAGTCAGAGCACCTACTTCCTTTCTAAACCCACAACAGGATAGGCTTCTACCTCTTGAAAATGTTATCGGTTGTCTTATGTGCCTTAGTGGGTGCTGTGATAAAGAGTGCCCCACTTCCCTCCCCCTCACACCTTTAGTTAACTCAGGAGTCACTGAAGAGTCAGTCATGTTCAAGTATCCAACATACTGTTTAAAAGTAATACATAATTGTTTATCTTTGCATTGCTAACAGATGGAATTACTGGCAACCACACCAAGCCTATACACAGATGGGCTCAGCAACTTGTTTTTCCACATTTTGAGAATCACTGCCCTAAAGAAAGATATACCAACAGGTGGTCTTTAGACAGCAGATTTCAGTGTAGAGATTAAAGCAGTTTAATCCAATAAGTGAAATATAAGGACAAATTTCAAAGAGATAATGTTAAAAGATAAACTTAACCTCAAATAACCAAGGAAGCAAGGGCAGAACTGAGTTCTTGTGTTGATAGGAGATGCAAAAATTTCAAATGACTTGTCAAAAAGAAAAACCTCTCTCAGTGAATTTTACTTTTTCATTAAAACAGTTGGGAAACTGGGGAAATA